GATTCGAACCCACCACCTTAGGTGTATGTGGCTGGCGCCTTAGCCACTTGAGCCACAGGCGCCGAGCCGAGATGTCACTTTTAACATTACAAAAAGACTATAGCTTTTGTTTTGAGCATCCTTTCTTGCTCCCTCCCTTGCTCACTCTGAGATATGCTTCTATGTCGTAACTCATGTCTCTGGCCATAGCCATGTGAGCAAGCTTGGAAACAGACCCTCTGAAATTAGCCTTCAGATGAGTCCAAGCTGCAGCCAATGCCTTGTTTACAAACTTGTGATAGAACCTAAGCCAGAAGTACCCAGATAAACTAAGCCTATTGTTCCTGATCGACAGAAATTTTCAGATATTGTTCATTGTTTTAAGTTGCTACATTTCAGAGTAGGGTGTTACAAACAATGGATAACTAATACAGAAACTCTTTGTACTCTATTTCTACCACTCCTCTGTAAATCTAAGATTATTTCAAAATAAAAATGTTTAAAAATATTTTATGCACACATACATGTTTTATACATGCATATACATACACGTGTGTGTGTGGTTTAAATTATTTATGGACTCTGGAGTCAGACAAACCTAGATTGAAATGTCAACTTCAGTTCTAAATGGTCATGTAATCTTGGGCAAAATACATAATTTCTCTAAGTGTCAGGCTTTTGATAGCTATAAATTGAGGTAATAATATCTACCTCTGATGACTGTATTAAGTATAAAATGATATAAGAATCTATTAAAATGCCTGGCATTTAGTACATTCTGAATAAATGGGATTCTTAGCTCATTTGTATAATCGTTCATTATTTTCTTCTCATTCATAGCTTTATCTAATTTTAAGGAATTTGGCTGAAAAGTTTAAATAATGTATATAAATTCAATCTTTTAATTTCTAAACATTTTTGGAAAAAAAAAAAGTATCAGTACTGACCTCTATAGTACTCTATTATTTATAATACTGAAACCAGAAACTGACCTTAGTTTTTTTGCCCCAATCCAATTCTCAGTCACTAACTTTTAGAGCTGTAAGTGACCTTTCAGCTTTTCAACTTTTTCTTTCCATCATCTCCCACATGAATGTCAAATATATTAAATGAGATCATGACTGGAAGAAGAGCTGGAAGTAGGGTTCAAGACTATGACCATACTGTGTAGGGGAACAAGTTCTTGCTTTGATTAAACAGACTGCATTTGAATATCTATTCTTCTGCTTACAAACAGCATCATTTGGTATAAGTAACAACGTTGGTGTCTCAGTTTCCCAGTGTGTAAAGAGAGCTATCACCAGCTACTTAATGGGACTTACGAAGTTATGAAGACTAAGTAAGATAGCATATACGTCCCTTACTGCCATGACTACTACCACATGTGGATGCTGAATAAACTTTTCCCCTTCTTTTTTTCTAAGCCTACTGTTTCCACTGTGGTGTGATGCCTTCTTGATAATAAGGAAGAAACATTAAACACATAAGTAATTTTGTTTTAATCATGCTGTAAGAGACCTATTAAGGTAAAACAGTTAATGACATGATACTAAAATTAAGCCAAATAACATAAATCTAATGCATTTATCCCTGAATTCAGTTTCCTTTCCTACAATATATTGTGAGATGGGGCATCACATCAGGGAGCACATTGTGCTGACATGCTATACTGGTGATGTTAATCACTTAGTTAAAGTGGTATCTGCCAGGATTCTCCACTGTAAAGCCCCTTTTTTTCCTTTTTAAGTAATAAATATTTGGGTGAAATCATGAAATGGATCCAGGGATGGAGAAAAGGGTTGAAAGAGAAGGCCTGGGAGAGACAGAAACAGCCAAAGACAGAGAAAGTGCATGTGTACAAGCTCCCAAAGGAGATCTTCAGCAAATCTCCAACACCATAAATAAGGAACTTGGGACTGTACCACCGGATGATCAAAGACTTTTCTCAGAGGAATTTAAGTTTTTAAATACTTGATGTTAAGCCTTGCCAATAGCTCTTTGAAAGTACAAATATATTACTTTCACATAGTCTTTCTTACATATTTATTTCTTAAAAGACTTCTAATGGATTAGTCAGATAAAACCTCCCCTCAGAAAACACACTACCTTTCCCCCAAGCACTTCATCTGCTTAAAGCATTTTAAATCCTTTATCACAAATTCCATCAGCTTGCTTGTTATCACAATGAGACTCACCGATCTGCAGATATCGGAGTCTCCTCTGGATTGGAAAATCCTTCCAAATCTGAAATGTTCACTTGTATTTGCTTTGAGGTTACTATCTGTCTATTCTGAGAAGGTATGATTTTCAAGTCCTGAGTAACAGTATTACTATCTGGAAGAGAAGACTGTAAGACATGGAAGTCCAGTGGAGATTTAGGTCCTAGAAAACCTAAAGATTCTTGATCCTGTGCTATAGGTTTACTGGTCAATAATCTGGAGGTTGGTTCCAGTGATCTTGAAGATACTGTTTGTAGGTCAAAGTTAAACTCACTATCCATCCTTGTTTTAGAAGCAGCATCCAATGAATGAAATCTTTTACCTAAAGTTCCACTATCCAACTTGGAAGGTGTCTTGGGACAAAGAGTTATACGAACACAAGAAAGTGCTTTTCTACTTGAAGGTGGAGTAGATGCAGATGTTGTTAATGTACCATGATTCGGGGCCAACTGGGAAACATTATTGAACTTAGTTTCAACATTTACCGTATTAGAAATATGTGATTTAGGCTTATGTTGATTATTCTTTTCTACTACACTATCCTGACCTTGAGGAAGGGGTAAATTGTGTTCTCTCATGTGGTCATCTATACCTGGGGCTTTGCCTTGATGTTCAAGAAAAATGTGAGAAGGAAGGTCTGAAGCTACATAATCCTGACCTTGAGGAAGGGGAGAATATTTTTCTCTCATGTGATAATCTACATGTGGGGCTGTACTTTGTTCATAAAGTTCTCGTTGTTCAAGAAAAATACAAGAAGAAAAGATTGGAGCTATATGATCCTGATGTTGAGGAGGGGAAAAATGGTGTTTCCTCACATGGTGATCTGCATATGAGGCTTTGTTTTGTTCAGAGAGTTCCTTTTGTTCAAGAAAAATGCAAGAAGAAAGATCTGGAGTTATAGTTACATTCTTCTCTTTTATTTCTAAGGTGGAACTTGGTCTGCTCATGCTAATGAGGGTATGGTTATTAGAAAATTGAATTTCCTTAAAATTGCTACCATTTGCACTGGTACTGGGCTCAGAATGACTGCCTTTAAAATCTGATCTTTCTAAGAGTTTTTCTTCTTGATGAGAATGCTCAAAATCAACAGGTAATTTTTGGCTTTTCCTACTACCTTCTCCTAAAATAGTCCCATATTTATCTGGCGAATGACTACACATTTTAAATGATGAAGGGGAAGAAGCTTTCTGATTTAGATCTCTAGGAGGATTTTGCTCTTCAGTAAAATGAGACTTAAATACTCCCACAGATGCTCCAGTACACTGGCTACCTTCTGTAACACCAACCTTTAAAATAGAGGAATCTGAAATGCATTTAGAATGTCGGTGAGATGAAAAAGTGATGGAGGTAGTAAACTGTGTCGTGGGTTCTAGGGGTGGCATTTGTGATGAAGAATGAAAATCCACTTCTTTAGGTGGCACAAAAGCAGGTTCTACTAATTCTGGCAACCAAGGATTCATCTTTTCATGGAAAGGCATTCGAAGACCCTTGCTAATTTTGAAGTCATCAGATACAAAGTCTTGCAGTGGGGAATGACTTTGTAACTGCAAGGAATTCCAAACTTTGAAACGGGGATTGTTCTGGTCTAGGGATGTTGAAAGGTTGATGTGCCTATCTTTCCACGATGATGGGCTCCGCCGTCCTCTAATCATCTCTGAGGGGTCAGCAGATCTGAAAACACAAGTGTGGCCATCCAACTGTGGTTGTTCAGCAGTTAAAGTCCTGAAACATCCTTTTTCATGGCTCTCAATAATAATGTGACTACATACAGCTTCTGGGTTGCTTCCTATTCCCCGTGGACTCTGTAAACCCTAGAAGACATAAACAGGTTCTTACTTGAAATAGTATAAATAGTATATAAAAATCAGTTTTATAGCAAGGTTAAGATTAAGCATGAAGGTCATGTCATTCTTTTATAATAAAAAAAGGTTCAAAGAACACAGCAAGAAGAAGTTAACTGTAGAATAAAAATGGCTCATGATAATTAAGACTACTCAGGGAGTTCCAAAAATTTTTCCATTAAAAGAAACAGAGCAAAGACTACTGTTATCTCTCAGAATACATTCTCACCCTTCTTCCCTCACCCAAACCCTTGCTGGCCACATAGCCACCAAAAAAGAGACATTTCCTGTTTCTTTTCTTTTTTTTTTTTTTTGAGACAGGAGCCTCAAGCTGTCCCCCTGGGTAGAGTGCCGTGGTATCTCAGCTCACAGCAACCTCCAACTCCTGGGCTCAAGCAAGTCTCCTGCCTCCGCCTCCCAAGTAGCTGGGACCACAGGCACCCGCCACAAGGCCCGGCTATTTTTTTTTGGTTGCAGTTGTCATTGTTGTTTGGCGGGCCCGGGCTGGATTCGAACCTGCCACCCTGGGTGTACATGGCTGGCGCCTTAGCCACTTGAGCCATAGGCGCCGAGCTGACATTTCCTGTTTCTTTCATAGCTAGTTGTGATCATACAACTAGGTTTAGGCCAATGGAATACTTGCATGAGCAAAACCATTGTTACGTACAACTTCTGCTTTCTGTCCTTAAACTCAAGTTCCTGACCTTAACTACCATCAGCACTATTCTTGAATGCTGAAATGGTGATGCCTGGAACAATCTCAGAAGCCAAATATAAGGATGGCTCAGTTGCCTAGCTACTGTGGGTACTTGATGACCTGAAGAAACAGAGATCGGCTCGGCGCCTGTGACTCAAGCAGCTAAGGCACCAGCCACATACACCTAAGGTGGCAGGTTCGAATCTCCAGCCCGGACCCGCCAAACAACAATGATGGCTACAACCAAAAAATGGCCAGGTGTTGTGGTGGGCGCCTGTAGTCCCAGCTACTTGGGAGGCTGAGGCAGGAGACTCACTTGAGCCCAGGAGTTGGAGGTTGGCTGTGAGCGTGATGCCATGGCACTCTACCCAGGGGGATAGCTTGAGGCTCTGTCTCAAAAAAAAGAAACAGAGATCACTCTACTACCCTAGACCATGACATGAAAGAAAAAAAAAATTCCACCTTATTTAAGATACTATAGTTCTGGCTCTCTATTTCAGAGGCTTGACTTACATCCTAATAAAACCCCTAAAACCAGAGAAAAAACTAGTATCTTTTCCCAGGTTATAGGATGAGTATCAAAAGCTACCATAAATATAAAAGTTCTTTAAAGTTTTTGCATTAAACCTAAAAAGTCATTGTAATTTATCATTCTACTTGATGATACAGCAATATCTGATTTCATATGAAAATATTTTAAATCATGCTACGTTTGCCTACATGATAGAGTAGATAGATATACTCTTCCCTATTTCTCCTGTTAAGTAGAATTGAACTACCTGGACATTATATAGAAAACAAATGTAAGAAGATTCTGAATGATATAGAGAAGAAGTCAGATGGCTAGGGATCTAGAGATGTGAGGAATAATAAAGTGGTGAGTTCCTTGGGTTTTCTTTTTGTCTCATATATACAGACTTGAAGCTAAAGAAGCCACCAATCCATGAACAATAAGCATAGACAAAAAGCCCTAATAAAAATTTGCTCTCACTTGCTAAAAATCCAGTAAGGGTGCATCCTAACAAGGCAGAAACCTTTTAGATAATATATTATCTACTCCAGCCAACCACCACAGGAAAAACTATGGCGCCACACACACCTACACCAGGCAAAGGCCATACACAGAGACTATTCTTGGTGCAAATTATAATGATGCATCCCAACAGCCAGACCAGGGTACTATGGAAAAGTCCAAGTCGGAGCCCAGGATTTACTTCCAACCCTGCTGGCTGACAATGACCCTCTGGTGCAGTGAAGACTTTCACACCTAACCAGCAAAATGAGGTGCCCCTCTCTCTCCCACCTACAGGCGGAAAGACAAAATCTGCAAACCTCATATCAAATAAAGAACGTATACATGTATCTAACATATATACTTAAGAATTGATAGCTGTTAAAAATCCAATTAGAAAATTTGCAAAAGCCATAGACACTTCACTAAATAGGATTCAAAGATAAGAAATAAAGCTTTTCAACATCAAAGATCATTAAGGAAATACAAATTAAAACCAAAATAAGATACTACTTCTTCCCTATTAGAATGGGTAAAAACAAAAAATAGTGACCATATCAAATATGAAGCAAATGGATTGTTCATACATTGCTGGTGGGAATGTAAAATGGTACTGCCACCCTGGAAAATGGTGTGGCTTGTCTCTCAAAACACTAAACATGGGCTGGGCACAGTGGCTCAGGCCTATAATCCCAGGACTTTAGGGGGTTGAGGCAGGAGGAAACAAATACCCTAACTGCAGAAAAATAAACTTATTCTAGCCTCTCAAAACTGGGCATGATTAAGACTTACATTCACCCCAAAATTTCTCCTCCTCCTTTCCAACAATCCATATCTTACAATTTTTACTTCTCCCCATCACATCTTTCAAGTTTTCATAATAATTATAAACATCTTTCATAAAAATTTTCCATTCAAAAACTTCTTATAGCTTTTAATATAAGCCAAGTAAATTTTACTATTTTGGCAAAAAGTAAAAAGCTGTTTAGCTTAACAAAATCCAACATCTTTTTGAGATAAAAATTCCTCTGCAAGGGCGGCGCCTGTGACTCAAAGGAGTAGGACACTGGCCCCATATGCTGGAGGTGTAGGGTTCAAACTCAGCCCTGGCCAAAAACTGAAAAAAATAAAAATAAAAAATAAATTAAAAAATTCTGCAAACTAGGAAGGGAAGGGACTTCCTTAACTAGATGAAAAGCATCTATGAAAGACACACAAAGCTAATGACTCCATGCTTTCCCTCTAGGATTAAGAACAAGACAGGTATGTCCAGTTATAACTCTTCTATTCAACATCATACTGAAGGTTTAGCTAAGGCAATTAACTAAGAAATTTTTTAAATGCAGATCGGAAAGGAAGAAGTAAAACTATCTCTATTTGCAAATGACATGAACTGTTTTTTGGGTTTTTTTTTTTTGAGACAGTCTCACTTTTCTTGCCCTGAGTAGAGTGACATGGAGTCATCGCTCACAGCAACCTCATACTCTTGGGCTCAAGAGATTCTCGAGTAGCTGAAACTATAGGCGCCTACCACAACACCTGGCTAGTTTTTAGAGATGGGGTCTTGCTCTTGCTCAGGCTAGTCTTAAACTCCTGAGCTCAAGCAATCAACCCACCTCAGCCTCCCAGAGTGCTAGGATTACAAGCATGAGCCACTGTACCTGGCTTATGACATGAACACAAACTTCGAAGGAAACTACACAAAACCAACTAGGACTAATAAGTTCAGCAAAGTTGCAGGATGCTGGCCCAATACACAAAAATCAATTATATTTCAATACACTGGCAATTAACAATTCAAAAATGAAATTAAGCAATTCCATTTATTATATTAATAGCATAGAAAAGAGTAAAATACTTCAGAATATATTGAAGAAAATAAATATATGTCTTGTATACAGAGTTTTATAAAACACCGGATGAAATGGAAAAACATAAAAATAAATGGAAAACTGACCCTTGTTTATGGATTAAATGATTAATACTTCCAACAGCACCTGTAGTTCAGTGAGCAGACCGCTGGCCACATATACCGAGGCTGCCAGGTTTAAACCCGGCCCAGGCCAGCTAAAAAAATCAGCAATGACAACTCCAACAACAACAACAACAACAACAAAAGAAATAGCTGGGCATTGTGGTGAGTGCCTGTAGTCCCATCTACTTGGGAGGCTGAGGCAAGAGAATAGCTTAAGCCCAAGAATTTGAGGTTGCCATGAGCTGTGACACCATAGCACCTACCCAGGGCTAAAGCACTGTTTCAAAAAAAAAAAAAAAATTAATACTTCCTGTATTAATCTACAGATTCAATTTAACTCCTGTTAAAATCTCAGCTAGCTTTTTCTTTTACAAAACTGATAAGCAGACTCTAAAATTCGTATGGAAGGTGAAATTCAAGGGACCCAGAGTAGTAGTAGAGGTCTTACACCTTTCAATTTCAAAAATTACTTTGAAGATACAGTAATCAAAATGGTGGCACTAGCACAAGGACAGACTTGTAGATTAATGGAATAGAACTGACAGTCCAGAAGTAACACTAACATTTATAGTAAATTGATCTTTAACAAAGAGGTCAAGAAAATACAACAGAGAAAGAACAGTCTTTTCAACAGTGCTGAGACAGCAGAATGTTGAGGCAAAGAATGAATTGCATGCCTTAGATAAAAATTGACTCAAAGGAGACAGGCAACAAAAGTAAAAACAGATCAATTGAACTAAATAAAAATTCAAAACTTTGGTGCATCAAAGGATATAATCAACAGAATAAAAACACAACCTGTGGAATTGGAAAAAATATTTTCAAATTATGTACCTTAGAAACTGTGACTTTAGGTGAAACAAAGTACTGTATATATCATAGAATGTAATGTTATATCAATTAAGCCATGATAAAACTGGTTTTATTTTGCAGTATATCATTTCACTTAAAAGTTGTAATTTCCCAGAACCTACTGATAACATTAAGTGAGTACTTACTATATCTGATAATGGGGTTAATATCCATAAAATATAAAGAACCCCTACAACTCTACAACAAAAATAAAAGAAACAACCTGATTTAAAGACAGGCAAAAAACGTGAGTAGGCATGTCTCTTAAAAAAATATACAATGGCTAACAAACTATAAAAAGAAGCTCAACATCACTAATCATCAAGAAAATGCAAATCAACATTCCAATGAGATAGAATCTCAGACCTATTAGGAAGGCCATTACAATATATTTTTAAAAATCAGAAAATAGTAAGTGTTGGTGAAGATAAGGAGAATTTAGACCCCTGTTATATTGTTGGTGGAAATTTAAACACTGTGCCTCTGTGGAAAACAGTATGGAGCTTTCTCAAAAACTTAAAATAGAACGACCATATGACCCAGCAATAGATTGAGTCTATCCCCAAAAGAAGTAAAAGCAGGATCTTAAAGAGATAAATAGAACAACCATGCCCACAGCAGCATTATTTACAGCAGTCAAATGGTACATACCAAGTCAAGTACACATCAACAGAAGAACAGATAAATAAAATGTGGCATACACATACAATGGAACAATATAGTCTTAAAAAGAAATTCTGACATGTGCTAGAACGAGGATTTCATAGACATAGTAAGTAAATGAAATAAAGATATTCATTTATTTCATTCAGTTGAAATGAATGAAATTTCATAATTATAAAAAAGCCAGTCAAAAAAGAAAGATACTGTATGATTCCACTAGTATAAGGTAACTTGACTATCCAATTCATAGAAACATTAGTAAAATAGTATTTGCTAGGGCCTGAGGGGGAGGGAAGAATGGAGTGTTGTTGTTTAATGGATATACAGTTTCAGCTTTGCAAGATGAAGAGTTCTGGAGACTGGCTGAAAAAGTCTGAATGTACACAACACTACTGAACTGTACACTTAAAATGATTAAAATGTTAAATTTTATGTTATGTACATTTTACTACAATTTTAAAAAATAAAATAAAAATTGTGATTACTACAAAGGAATCACAGACCTACACTAAAACTAAATCCATATGATAAAAATGCTAAATCTTTGTGACCCTAGGCTATGCAATGATTTCTTAGACATGATACCAAAAGTACAAGCAATAAAAGAAAAGTCTGGTAAGATAAACTTCTTCAAAATTACAAACTTTTGCATTTCAAATGTCATGATGAAGAAAGTTAAAAGACAACCCACAGAATCGGAGAAAATATTAAGTCATGTATCTGGTAAAGTTCTAAGATCCACAATGTAAAAAGAATGCCTACAATAAAAATAAAAACTTATAAATGGGCAAAGCGTTTTAACAGATATTTCTCTGAAGAAGATAAATGACCAATAAGTACATCAAAAGATGTTCAATGCCATTTGTCAGCAGAAGAAAGTAAACAAAAAACACAATGAATACTACTTCATGCTCACCAAAATGGCTATAATCAAAAAATACAGAAAATAACAAACATTGGAAAGGATTTGAAGAAACTGGAACCCTTATATCATATACTGCTCATGAGAATGTAAAGTAATGCAGCTATTTCCAAAACCAGTTTAGCAGTTCCTCAAAACAGTAAACATAGAGTTCCCATATATCACAGCAATTCTACTCCTAGGTATATGTACCCAAGAGAAATGAAATATGTCGACTCAAAACACATATACTTATGTTCCTAGCAACACTATTCACAATAGCCAGAAAGTGGAAAACACAAATGTCTTATCAACTAATGAGTGGATAAACAAAATATGGTATATCCATACAATGGAGTATCATTTGGCAATAAAAAGGAATAACACAGTACTGATTCATGCTGCAACATAAGGTGACAGCCCTTGAAAACATTTTTAAGGAAAAAAAGGTAGTTATGAAAAAAAAAAAACCCAAATATATTATGTTTATGTTTATATGAAATGTCCAGAATAGGCCAATTTATAGGGAGAAAAAGTGGATTAGCAGTTACATAGAGTTAGGAAATGGGGGGAAAGGGAGAATGACAAAAAAGTTCTAAAATAAGACTATTATACGATTCTACAAACAAATTAAAAACCACTGAAATTAAAAACACTTTAAATGAGCAAGTCTTATGGTAGGTACAGTAAATTTAATTGAGATAGAGCTAATATGAAGGACTTCTAGCTCCAAAATGGCAGTATAAAAAGCAAGCTGACTTCTCTACCTGCCCCACCAACAATAAATAAATAAATAAATAAATAAACAAACAAACAGTACCAAGATCCACACCAGCAACAACCCTGAGCTCAAATATGTGAATGATACAGCTCCCTGGGTCCCAGAGAAATGGACAAACTCCTAGCAGGTGGTAGGAGAATCAGACTTCGACATTCATGATGCCCCTTCCCCTGTTCTTCTAGGCACCAAGTGCATGGAAAATCTCCCCCTAATTTGTCATTTCTACAGTGGATAAAGTGAAACTGAAGTGGTCAACCAGCTTCCCAACCTTCTTGGGTTCCCTGGAAGGAGACGTGACCTTGGCTTAGGCCATGGAAAGTATCATCACTGCCTGGAAAAAAAAATAACCCTGAGGACAGGTAGAGACAAATGCTGGAGGCATCTACCATCCTCAGTTCTGAAAACTTTGCTCTATAACTCAGCCAAAAGAGACATGCTGACTAAGAGTGGCTATAGCAGGAATGATGATCCTTTGATATCTCCCACATTTGGGACAGGTAGCATGCTAACCATTTACTAGAGCTGAGGTAAAGCTGAGCTTAAAGTACCAACTAGAGAGGAAAGGAGTGAGGAAAAGGAGGCTGAAATCTTTTCCAAAATTGAGATAAGCTAAATAACTAAGCTATATCACTGAAGAGTAGTTTTCTAAGAAAATCTGTATAAATCAGGCCATAAAATCCACACATGATAGCTCTGTCAACTCTTATAGGATAATCAATTATAGTAACAGCTGCCAGTTTTTGAGCATTAAATAGGTTATCACATTGTGCTAAGCATTTTATAGGAATTATCTCATATAATCCATATCCAAACTCTGTAACATATTTATTATCATACCCTATTACTGTTCATAATTAGCAGACCAAATGCCTTATCCAAAGGAGAATGGATAAACTGTGATAGATTCATACACTGGAATCCTATACTATAATAATGAATAAAATGAAACCATACAGATCTAGATATAAGAATCTCAAAAACCTAAGACCATGTGAAAAAACCAATTCTCAAAAGAATATACCATACTGATTCCATCCATGAGAGTTCAAAACCACACTGAAGGGCAAGGAAATCAATTCATGTTAATATAAGAAGTAAAAAAGAAGGGCACACAAACTAAAGGAAGGGGACACAAAGGATTTCAACAATATTCAAAATGCTCTATTTCTCAAGCTGGATAGCCAATATACAGAAATTATTTTTGCTTGCCTTTATTCTTTACATAAATGACTCATATATACTCTAATCCATGCATGAAATAGTTCATAATAGAAGGAAATTAAGTGCCATTAAAAAGAATACATAAGCTATTACAGCTCTGTATTCTTAAGCAGAAAAAAATAGACATTTGAAAACAGCTGGAATTTATCTGTATTTCAAGACAGCATCCTCACGAGAAATGGTGACATTTAGTTTGTTTTAACAATATGTTGATAAAATAAGCAAATCAATTCTTATTTTTCTAAGATAAAATTTTCTCAACAGATCAATTTGAAATTAATCAAAACTTACAGAATCTAATCTTTATACCTTAACTTTTGAAAAATTAAGATTCTAAAACTTTAGCCAAAGATTATCAGACCCAAGTAAGAGATCTAAATTCCACCACCCATTCTCTCACATTTTCTATTTTCATTTCTAGATTTATTTTATACCTTGGACAAGTCAGTTGTTCTCCCATGACCAAACAACTCTGCCTTGATCTCTTCTACTTTCCTCCTGTCATCTTCATTTAATTCTGAAATGGAGTATCCACAATCCTGTGCTAAATTAAACTTCAAATTCCAGGCTAGAGAGAAAGCACAGAAACGCTTGAGACAATACAATGCAAAAGTGACAATGTGTCAACAACTGTAAGAACACAGATCATTATGCAATTTAATGCCTACCATATGCTAAGGCAAGTGTTCTCAATTACATGACAATTCAACAGAAATTCTTAACATAAATCATTTCATGAAAAGTCTGATTTTTAAAAACCGTACTGTAGATGTTTCTAAAGAAACACCACTTTAAATGTGATATTCAATCATTTTTATCTTTTTTTTTTTTTTTTCTTTTTTGAGACAGAGCCTCAAGCTGTCCCCCTGGGTAGAGTGCTGTGGCATTACAGCTCACAGCAACCTCCAACTCCTGGGCTCAAGCGAGTCTCCTGCCTCCGCCTCCCAAGTAGCTGGGACCACAAGTGCCTGCCACAACGCCCGGCTATCTTTTGGTTGCAGCCGTCATTGTTGTTTGGCGGGTCCGGGCTGGGGATTCGAACCCGCCACCTTAGGTGTACATGGCTGGTGCCTTAGCCGGTTGAGCTATAGGCGACGAGCCAATCATTTTTATCTTAATCTTCCTTTTAGTCAAGAGTACCTTTACCTCCCCTTTTAGCCTCTAGCTACAGTTATTGACAATGTCTTAAGAGTTGATATTTTAAAATAATAAATAAAACCTCGAGTTTTTTTGTAGAATCAAAATGTACAACAAACAGTATAGGAAGTTAACCTCAAGAGAAGACTTAAGGTAGGCTTGAACTACTTGCAAGTTGCCCCTCAAAATATATTCTCCTCATAAATCCTTAAAGATTTTTGCTTTTGTTTTTAATGGAATGCTACTATTAGAGATTAATAAGAATACTAAATATTCTTTAAACCTCTAACCAAGTTTTAATGTAAAATACTTTGATAAGATTTGTTTTCCTAATGTCTGAGATTAGCTCCAAGAATTTTATTAGAAATGGGGAAAAGAAAATATATGTAGTTTTAGGACACAGAAGCATTTAGAGCAGAGCAACTGAAGGCTTTTTCTGCCCTCAAAATAAGACTGCTATAATGGGAGTATCAGAGAACAGGACAGATTTAGGAGCTTAGAAGCCCAAGCCTCCTCCTTACTCTCTGTCAGACATCAGATCTTCTTCCCTAAGGCCCTAACCTCAGACTAGTACTATTAATACTGAAACTTAGCTGTACTGATTACATGGGCTTTTTCTGGATTGTTAGTAGAAAATATAATCCTTCTAACAGTTTTATTTTAAAAAAGAATTTTAGAAATCTAAACATTTAGCTTTAAACAAATTATTAAGATACAATGCTAAAAGATAAACCTGAACCTGCCTTTATCACAAATCATCAGTTCTTACCTCGTGCTCGTACCCGACATTCTTCTTCCTCTGCATTTCTGAGTATTTGTTTAGCATGATTCAATGAGGATTCACATTTCAGAAGGTTTTTCACATGTGCAGCCAGTGAATCTACACTGCTGCCAGCACAATCCTCACTCTCTGACATACCCTCTTCCTCTCTGCTATCTGTTATGCTTGTCTTGGGTGAAACATACGGAAAAAAATTTAGAAGAACATCGGAAACTGATTCCAAAGACTCAGGTAAATTACTGTCCCATGAGCAGGAACCATTTCCATCACTTACATCACTACTTGAATCACTTATGATAGTCATCATAGGGATGATAATTTTATTCCCAATAGTTCCACTACACCCTTCAGGTTCAGTCCTCATTACACATTTGGCTGCTTCATACTGCCTAAAGGTTTCTTCTAATGCCACATGGGCTTTGTGTTCTGCTTCCTGTAGAGGACTTCTAACTGTAGTAGAACTAATAAACTCCCAATTTTCAATGCCTCTCTGGCTTTTCAAACTTGTCTGTGTGCCGATATCCTTTTGCATAGACCTGTTGTTTGGGCTTTCCTCTGTGAACAGCTGTCTCTGAACCAAATCACTAGATACATCAGTTGTGGAGGGTTCTTTGAAGCAAACCACCTTCTTAGATTGTATAAATGAAATATCACCCACATCTCTGAAAGGGACAAGTGGAGCAGGAAAATTGCACCGTTTCAGTGCTATATTCTCTGCCTCCATTAAAAGCGTCTGAATTTCTTTAAGAGTTCTAGAACTACTTTCTGTATCCCGGATTTCCTCAGAGCCAACATCTGCAAGACCTGAAGATTCTGATTTACTTATTATAACTTTATCGTCAGCCTGAGAATACAAAAGAATATTGTTTAAGCTGACACTAGAGTCAGAAGAATTTGATTTATTTACTGGCCTCTGGACAGGTTTTGAAACAAGTTTATGCTTCTCACCAGAGGGAACAGTTTGTAACTCAGTAATTTGATCAGCTTGCCCAGGACCACTTGAGAACTTCAGAGCATCTTTAGTTACGTGTCTATCTGGCAAATCCTTCTGATAAAAAATACCTGATTTCTCACTGTGTGAAAAGGAACTAGGAGGAGCTACTGATAATATTGTTCTCTGGTCCACTGGTCCAGGAACTGTTGAAACCTTCAGTGCATTTTCTATTAGATGTCTGTCTGGAAATTCCTGTGGATACAAAATATTAGATTTCTCTCTGTGAAAATAAGAACTAGAGAGAGTTACTGCTTTCTTAGTATTTATATCAGTTGGTGCCGGGACAGCTGAAATCTTTACAATATCTTCACTTTGATCTCTATCTGGCAACTGGCGTTGTAGTAAAATACCAGGCTTTACTCGTGGAGAATAGGAACTAGGAAAAACTGCCAGTGATGGAGACTTCTGGTCATCTGATCCAATCAAAGTTGAAATACTGAGCTTCTCTCCATCTGAGTAGGAACTAGTGGTACCTGTTGACAGCTCAGTTTTATGGTCATCTAGTACATCCACAGACGAAACCTTGAATGTCTCTTTATGTGAATAGGAATTAGAAATTCCTGTTGATCTCGCAGTCTTCTGCTCTACTGGCACAAAAACGGGGGAAACTTTCAGAGGCTTATCAGTAGGAAGACTATCTGGAAATTCTTGTTGAGAGTAAACACTGGGCTTTGTTCTATGTGAGCAGGAACTAAAGGGTACTGTTGGTGCCCCAGTCTTCTGGCTACCTGATCCAGGAAGAACAAAAACATCTATAGCTTCTTCAGTATTATCTGGCAACTTCTGCTGATGAAAAATACTGGGCTTCTTCCCTTTTGAGTAGGAACTAGAGGATGTTATTGGTACTCCAGTCTTCTGGTCAGCAGGTCTAGAAGCTCCACCTGCTTTCAAAGATCCTTCAGTAAGACCTGGCAACTCACTTTCATAAGATATGATGGGCTGCTCTCTCTGTGAGTAGGAAGTAGAGGGCACTATTTGTATGCCAGTCTTCTGGTCAGCTGTCCCAGGAACTACTAAAACTTTCAAAGCTTCCTCTGGCAACTCTTCCTGGTAAGAAATAATGGGCTTCTCACTATGTGAATAGGAACTAGAGGATGCTAGTCGTATAAGACTTTTCCGGTCAGCTGCTGAAGCAAGGCCTAAAAGTATTAAAGTTTCCTCATCAAATTCAGACAAGTCCTCATAAGAATTACTGGACTTCTCTCTAAGTGAGAAGGAAGAAGAGGTTATTGTTGGTATTCCAGTCTTCTGGTCAGTTAGTTCAGGAAAATTTGAAACTTTCAGAGCCTTGTTGGTGAGATTACTATCTAGCAACTCCTGTTGGTAAGAAATAATCGACTTCTCTCTCTGTGGGTGAGAATAGGTTACTGTAGATGTCCCAGTCTTCTGGTCAACTGGTCCAGCAACACCTAAAACTTTCAGAGCTTCTTTAGTTAGCTTACCATCTGACAGGGCCTGTTGGTAGAAAATAATGGGTTTTCCTCCAAGTGGGTAGGAAACTGAAGATACTGTTGGTATTCTAGTCTTCTGATCAGCTGGTCCAGAAACAACTGAAACTTCCAAACCTTCCTCAGTTAGAGGACTATCTGACAAGACTCGCTGGAAAAAAATAATGGGCTTCTCTCCAAGTGAGTAGGACGAAGAGGATACTATAGGTGTGCCAGTCTTCTGGTCAGCTGGCTCAGGGGCAGCTGAAATTTTCTGAGCTTCCTCAGTTAGATAACTACCTGTCAAGGCCTCTTGGTGGAAAATACCAGGCTTCTCTCTACGTAAGTAAGAAGTAGAGGGGACAGTTAATATGCCACTCTTCTGATTTGCAGGTCCAGAAACAAGTGCAACTTTCTGAGCTTCTTGAGTTGGATGACTATCTGGCAAGGTCTGTTGATACAAAATAATAGGCTTCTCTATTTGTGAGTAAAAAGTAGAGGGTGCAGTTAATGTGCCACTCTTCTGGTCAGCAGGTCCAGAAACAAGAGCAACTTTCTGAGCCTCTTGAGTTAGATGACTATCTGGCAAGGTCTGTTGATACAAAATAATGGGCTTCTCTCTTTGTGAGTAAGTAGAGGTTGTAGTTGGTATGTCAGTTTTCTGGTCAGCTGATCCAAGAGCAGGTGAAACTTTCTGAGCCTCTTCAAGTAGATGACTACTGAATAAATTCTGCTGATAGAAAACACCTGGCTTCTCTCTATATTGCAAGAAGGAAGCAGAGGTTCCAGCTGGTGTGCCAGTTGTCTGGTCTGCTGGTCCAGGAGCACCTGAAATTTTCAGAGCCTCTTCAGTTAGATGACTGTCCGGCAAGGCCTGCTGGTAGAAAATACTGGGCTTCTCTCTCTGTGAGTAAGAAGTAACGGTATTTATAGCTTGTGTTCCAGTCTTCTGGTCAGCTGGTTCAGGGACAACTGAAACTTTCAGAGCCTTTTTAGTTGAATGACTATCTGACAACTCCTGCTGATAGAAAATACCAGACGTATCTCTATATGAGTAGGAACCTGAAGTTACTGTTGGTGTCCCAGTATTCAGGTCAGCTAGTCCAGGAACAGAAACTTTCAGAGCTTCTTTAGGTGGATGACTGTCTGGCAACTCCTGTGGGCAGAAAATATCAGATTTCTCTCTGGCTAAGTTGGAACTGAAGGACACTGTTCGTTTTCCAGCCTTCTGGTCAGCTGGCCCAGAAACAACAGAAACTTTAAGAGCTTCTTCAGGTAAATGACTATTTGGCAGGGTCTGCTGGGAGACAATAATGGACTTCTCTCTAGGTGAGTAGAAACTAGACAGTTCTGAGGTTAACTCAGTCTTCTGTTCTGGTCCAGGAAAAACTGAACCTTTCAGACCCTCTTCAGTTAGGTGACTGTCTGGTAAGCTCTGCAGGTAGAAAATACTGAGTAGCTTCTCTCCCTCTGAGTAGGGAGCAGAGGTTACAGATGATATCCCAGTCTTCTGGTCCGCTAGTCTAGCAACAGCTGAGCCTTTAGGACCCTCTTCAGTTAGATAACTATCTGGTAAGGTCGGCGGGTGGAAAACACTGAGCTTCTTCTCTCCCTGTGAGTAGGGAACAGAGGTTACAGTTGATATCCCAGTCTTCTGCTCAGCTAGTCTAGCAACAGCTGAACCTTTCAGAGCCTCTGCAGTTAGACAACTGTCTGGTAAGTTCTGTTGGTAGAAAACACTAAGCTTCTTCTCTGCCTGTGTGTAGGAAGCAGAGGTTACAGTTGATATCCCAGTATTCTGCTCAGCTAGTCTAGCAACAGTGGAACCTTTCTGAGCTTCTGCAGTTAGACGACTGTCTGGTAAGTTCTGTTGGTAGAAAACACTAAGCTTCTTCTCTGCCTGTGTGTAGGAAGCAGAGGTTACAGTTGATATCCCAGTCTTCTGCTCAGCTAGTCTAGCAACAGTAGAACTTTTCTGAGCCTCTTCAGTTAGGTGACCGTCTGGTAAGCTCTGCGGGTAACAAACAATGGGATTCTCTGCCTGTGAGTAGGGAGCAGAGGTTACGGTTGATACCCTAGTCTTCTGCTCAGCTAGTCTAGCAACAGCTAAACCTTTCCGAGCCTCTTCAGTTAGACGACCATCTGGTAAGCTCTGCGGGTAGCAAACAATGGGATTCTCTGTCTGTGAGTAGGGAGCAGAGGTTATGGTTGATATCCCAGTCTTCTGCTCAGCTAGTCTAGCAACAGTAGAACTTTTCTGAGCCTCTTCAGTTAGATGACTGTCTGGTAAGCTCTGTGGGTAGCAAACAATGGGATTCTCTGCCTGTGAGTAGGGAGCAGAGGTTACGGTTGATATCCCAGTCTTCTGCTCAGCTAGTCTAGCAACAGCTAAACCTTTCAGAGCCTCTTCAGTTAGACGACCATCTGGTAGGCTCTGCGGGTAGCAAACAATGGGATTCTCTGCCTGTGAGTAGGGAGCAGAGGTTACGATTGATACCCCAGTCTTCTGGTCAGCTAATCTAGCAACAGCTGAACCTTTCCAAGCCTCTTCAGTTAGATGACCATCTGGTAAGCTCTGCGGGTAGAAAACAATGGGATTCTCTGCCTGTGAGTAGGGAGCAGAGGTTACAGTTGATATCCCAGTCTTCTGCTCAGCTAATCTCACAGCAGCTGAACTTTTCTGAGCCTCTTCCGTTAGATGACTGTCTGGTAAGCTCTGGGGGTAGAAAACAATGGGCTTCCCTGCCTGTGAGTAGGGAGCAGAGGTTACAGTTGATACCCCAGTCTTCTGGTCAGCTAGTCTAGCAACAGCTGAACCTTTCTGAGCCTCTACAGTTAGATGACTGTCTGGTAGGCTCTGTGGGTAGCAAACAATGGGATTCTCTGCCTGTGAGTAGGGAACAGAAGTTGCAGTTGATACTCCAGTCTTCTGGTCAGCTAGTCTAGCAGCAGCTGAACCTTTCCGAGCCTCTTCAGTTAGATGACTGTCTGGTAAGCTCTGCTGGTAGAAAACAATGGGATTCTCTGCCTGTGAGTAGGGAGCAGAGGTTACAGTTGATATCCCAGTCTTCTGCTCAGCTAGTCTAGCAACAGCTGAGCCTTTAGGACCCTCTTCAGTTAGACAACTGTCTGTTAAATTCTGTTGGTAGTAAACACTAAGCTTCTTCTCTGCCTGTGTGTAGGAAGCAGAGGTTACAGTTGATATCCCAGTCTTCTGCTCAGCTAGCCTAGCAACAGTGGAACCTTTCTGAGCCTCTTCAGTTAGATGACTGTCTGGTAAGTTCTGTTGGTAGAAAACAATGGGATTCTCTGCCTGTGAGTAGGGAGCAGAGGTTACAGTTGATATCCCAGTCCTCTGCTCAGCTAATCTAGCAGCAGCTGAACTTTTCCGAGCCTCTTCAGTTAGACAACTGCCTGCTAAGCTCTGCGGGTAGAAAACAATGGTATTCTCTGCCTGTGAGTAGGTAGCAGAGGTTACGGTTGATATCCCAGTCTTCTGCTCAGCTAGTCTAGCAACAGCTAAACCTTTCCGAGCCTCTTCAGTTAGACGACCGTCTGGTAAGCTCTGCGGGTAGCAAACAATGGGATTCTCTGCCTGTGAGTAGGGGGCAGAGGTTACGGTTGATATCCCAGTCTTCTGCTCAGCTAGTCTAGCAACAGCTAAACCTTTCAGAGCCTCTTCAGTTAGACGACCGTCTGGTAAGCTCTGCGGGTAGCAAACAATGGGATTCTCTGTTTGTGAGTAGGGAGCACAGGTTACGGTTGATATCCCAGTCTTCTGGTCAGCTAATCTAGCAACAGCTGAACCTTTCCAAGCCTCTTCAGTTAGACGACCATCTGGTAGGCTCTGCGGGTAGCAAACAATGGGATTCTCTGCCTGTGAGTAGGGAGCAGAGGTTACGGTTGATATCCCAGTCTTCTGTTCAGCTAGTCTAGCAACAGTGGAACCTTTCTGAGCCTCTTCAGTTAGACAACTGTCTGGTAAGCTCTGTGGGTAGCAAACAATGGGATTCTCTGCCTGTGAGTAGGGAGCAGAGGTTACGGTTGGTACCCCAGTCTTCTGCTCAGCTAGTCTAGCAACAGCTAAACCTTTCCGAGCCTCTTCAGTCAGACGACCGTCTGGTAAACTCTGCGGGTAGCAAACAATGGGATTCTCTGCCTGTGAGTAGGGAGCAGAGGTTACGGTTGATATCCCAGTCTTCTGCTCAGCTACTCTAGCAACAGCTGAACCTTTCCGAGCCTCTTCAGTTAGACAACCATCTGGGAAGCTCTGAGGATAGCAAACAATGGGATTCTCTGCCTGTGAGTAGGGAGCAGAGGTTACAGTTGATATCCCAGTCTTCTGCTCAGTTACTCTAGCAACAGCTGAACCTTTCCGAGCCTCTTCAGTTAGATGCCTATCTGGTAAGTTCTGTTGGTAGAAAACAATGGGCTTCCCTGCCTGTGAGTAGGGAGCAGAGGTTACAGTTGATATCCCAGTCTTCTGCTCAGCTAGTCTAGCAACAGCTGAATCTTTCCGAGCCTCTTCAGTTAGTTGACCATCTGGTAAGCTCTGCGGGTAGCAAACAATGGGATTCTCTGCCTGTGAGTAGGGAGCAGAGGTTACGGTTGATACCCCAGTCTTCTGGTCAGCTTGTCTAGTAACAGCTGAACCTTTCCGAGTCTCTTCAGTCAGATGACTGTCTGGCACGGCCTGTTGATAGAAAACAATGGGCTTTTCTCTCTGTGAGTAGGAACTAGAGGGTACTATTGGTGTGCCAGTTTTCTGCTCAGCTGATCTAAGGATACCTGAAGTTTTCAGACCTTGTTCAGGGAGAAGACTGCTTGGTAGCACCGGCTGGTACAAGAGACCAGGCTTTTCCCTCTGTGTATAAGAACTAGGGTATACTGCTGGTATTTCAGTCTTGTGGTCATATGGTTCATTAAAATCTGTAATTTTCAGAATCTCTTCAGTTTCATGAATGTCTGGCAACTCTGGTTTGTAAAAAGTACTGGGCCTCTCTTTTTGTGAGTAGAAAGTAGAAGGTACTGGTGCTATCCCAGTCTTTTGGTTAGCTGGTCCAGAAACAGCTGAAACTTTCAGAGCCTGATTAGTTAGATGACTTTCTGGCAAGGTCTGTTGATAAAAACTAAAAGGTTTCTCTCCATGTGAGTAGGAACTAGAAAATACTGTATTTTTCCCAGTCTTCTGGTCAGCGAATTCAGGAGCAAATGAAACCCTTAGGGGATCTTCAATTAAATTACTATGTGGTAACTCCTGTTGGTAGAAAATACTGGGCTTCTCTCTTGAGTAGAAAGTAGAGGCTATAGTTGGTATGTCAGCTGATCCGAGCACAGGTGAAACTTTCTGAGCATCTTCAGGTATTTGACTACCTGTCAAAACCTGTTGCTGGAAAGTACCAAGCTTTGGTCTAAGTGAGTAAGAAGTAGAGGCTACAGATGGTGTCCCAGCTGGTCCAGAAACACCTGTAACTTTCAGAACCTCTTCAGTTAGATGACTTTTTGACAAGCCCGACTGGTAGAAAATGCTGGGCTTCCCACTATGTAAGTAGGAACTAGAGGGTACTGGTGGTGTCCTAGTCTTCGAGTAAGTTGGTTCAGGAGTAGCTGAGATTTTCAGAGACTCTTCTGTTAAACAAGTATCTGCTAACGTCTTTTGGTTAAAAGTATCAGTGTGTTGACCAATAACATTCTCTTCAGAACTTACTGCCAACTGAGATAGGTCCTCAGGGGACAAGGATAAATGTGATACAGAGTCTGAATCTCCAGTAGTGGTAGTGATGCCTGATTTCAAATTGGATTGAGTAATATAAGCTATGCCTCCTTTAGAAGAATCTCCTAAACAAAAAGAGGTTTATTAATATTATATATATTGTCTTCAATTTTAAAAATTCCTTTCTGTGCACAGAAAAAATAAAATAAGATTCTCTATCTTTGACCTTTAAGATCCAAGAAATCAATCCTTAGAAAACAACCATCAACAGACAAATATATGTATACAAAGGTATTGATTATAAAGAAAACTAAAGTGAAAATATTTTAAATATCCAACGATAGAGCAGTGGCTAAAAATAAATAAATCTGAAACTTTCGGATTAAAAATAAATGGATTTAAAAATAAATTTTAAATTTATTTCAAGAATTGTCAATAAAATGGAATAATGCTGTTAGGTCTGGAATTTGATTTCACCCTGCTTACAAGCTGTTATTATGTTGTGTAAACTCTGCAGTCAGAGACAAAAGGCTTTATTAACCCTGACATAGCAAAGGCTCATAGCTTATTTTCATAGGTTCCTCTTTCACCTGAGTCCCACAAGGGGCAATACAATACAGGATGGCCTAGACCAGGGTTCTCAACCTTCCTAATGCTACAGCCCTTTAATGCAGTTCCTGTAGGCCACAGGTTGAGAACCGCTGGCCTAAATGGATGCTATGTTTGCAGCAGGTTTTGCAGACTCTCCCAACAAATGTGCCCTACATCACGTATTTTTTCTTTTAAGTATATAAACCATAAAAGACTGTAGAGGTTATACTAAAGTGTTTGAACTTACACAATATGGCATGGGGAATTGTTGACAGTTTTGTTAAGAACTGTCCTACAGAAATAGGATTTGAGTTGAATGAGAAATAAATATGAAAGTCTAAATAACACAACTTTCTGCAGTAACAGAAATGTTCTGTTTGCACTAATAATTCTAAATGCAAATAATTTCAAATGGCAGTGTAAAGCAAATGATTGCAATAGAAATGACTGGATTTGGCTCGGCGCCTATAGCTCAACCGGCTAAGGCGCCAGCCACGTACACCTAAGGTGGCGGGTTCGAATCCCCAGCCCGGACCCGCCAAAATAACAATGACGGCAGCAACCAAAAAATAGCCGGGCGTTGTGGCGGGCGCCGTAGTCCCAGCTACTTGGGAGGCTGAGGCAGGAGACTCGCTGGAGCCCAGGAGTTGGGAGGTTGCTGTGAGCTGTAATGCCAGGGCACTCTACCCAGGGGGAAAGCTTGAGGCTCTGTCTCAAAAAAAAAAAAAAAAAAAAAAGAAATGACTGGATTTGACAAGTTCTGCATTCATTGATTTCTTCATTGAAAAACCATGAATGTTTACTACGAGTCAGACACTGTTCTAGATAAAGGATATACAACAACGAACAGACAAAAATCCCTACCTCACAGAGATTACATTCTAGTAGGAAGAGGCAGACAATAAGTAAAATGATAAAATATATGGTATGTCAGATGATGTTATGATGGCTGATACACACAGCAAGTAACAGAGCTTCTCAGTGTGAGGATCTTTTTAACTTGCAGATTCTGATTCTAGGTCTAGGGAGGGACCTGAAATTTTGCATTTCTAACAAGCTCCTGGATAATGCTAAATAATATTGGACCTCAGACCAAATGTTAAATAATAAAAAGATATAACGTTTCTAAAGTTGTAGAGTGAATAAATAACAACAACAACAAAAAAAGGTATTTTTCAAGTCTTTTTTTTCCTTTTTGGAAACACAATCTCACTCAGTTGCTCTCAGTAGAATTCAGTGGCATCATCACAACTCACAGCAACCTCAAACTCTTAGGCTCAAGGGTCTCAGTCTCCCGAGTAGCTAGGACTACAGGTGTGTGCCAAGACCCCAGTTAACTTTTCTATTTTTAGAAAAGAATAGAGAATTTTTAGAATAGAATAGAGATGGGGGATCCTGCTCTTGCTCAGGCTGGTCTCAAGCTCCTGAGCAAAAGCAATCCATCCACCATAGCTCCCAGAGTGATAAGGTTATAGGAGTCAGCCACAGCGCTCTACCTCAAGTCATTAATTTTCACTCCAAATTCTGAATTTTTTCCACTATCACTAAGACCACTGGTGAGCTCCAAAAAAGGGGCTGAATATAGAAAAAAATGGGTATAGAAGAGAACTTCAAGGTAAGTAGATGTAACAACTTAACTGTTCAAGAAAACTAAAATAGAAGGAAAAGAAATGTAACATGCATTGCAACTTGAGAACTAATATGGTTCATAAAAATTTCTGAGGAAACAAATCAAGTTCAAGAAGTTAATAAGGGGTGCGGAGCCAAGATGGTGGACTGCAGCCAGCTTTTTGCAGAAGCTCCTATTCAGAAGGAGGCTTGAGGGACAGAAGTTTAGCAAGTTGGCTGATGGTTTGGAGCAGAGCCAAGAGAGAAGATTGAAGAACACACTTCACCCTTCCTGAGGCAAGCTGCGACCCCAAAAAGACAACCAAAAGGTACAAAATCCACCACCACGTGGACAGTAGTCCCCTCCCCTACAACAAGGACTCACAGTTTATTCCATGCAAACAAGCGAGCAGATTTCAAACTTCCTCCCACTCTATCCCACGGGAGAGACCCCCTAAAAACTGGACCTCCTACCCCTGCTGGCATGCCACGGCACCCTCTAGCCAGGCATAAAACTGTAAAACTGTATAAAACTGTATATATTCCCCACCTGCAACACTGAACTCCGAGGAGTCCCCACCAACCCACTCCAAGGTCTGGAAGTTTGTTACCTATGGAATCCAGATTCTTGGGCATCTCCTTGAGAGAAGTGGAGGGGGAAAGGGCTGGTGCTGGTTCTGTGCTGACTGTGGCACAGGCGTGAGGAGAAGAAAATCAGCTCAGGGGACGCCAATACAGCAACAGTGGCATCCTGAGCTGCAAACTGACGCAATGCGAGCCCCGTCTCGTTGGGCAAACAGAGGTTCCGGACAGCAGCCACAGGCAAAACGCAGAGAACTTTCGTAAGTCAATGACCAGCCCTCAGGGTCTAATATACCTGAGACAAAGGCAGTGGGCGGGCAGAGGCTAGAACTGACACCTGAGTGTAAACTGCTATTTGTCTGCTGCCCAGAGCTGAGTGCAACCTCGGACTTGCAGAGAAATCTAGCAGGACAGAAGCCTAATTTAAACACAGAAGGCCCCCCCTGCCAAATTCAGATTTCTGGCTGATTTTGCCAGTCGTAAACCCCAGGAGCAGTGGCCTACTGGAGTGAATAGGGTCACAGACCTAGGGGATTACGAGTGACTACCTGCAAGGTGGGGAAGGAGGTATTAACCTTCCCAGACTAACCCATTTGCCGGGTGGGTCCCTTTGCCCTCATGGAGCGGGACCGAGCGGGCCCAAAACTGCTTGCTAGAGTCGCACGCCTCACAGGCAGCAGAGGAGATCCCTGACCCAGGCTCCTGCTCTGGGCAGGCCCATAACAGCTTGCTAGTGCCACAGGAGTCCCGCGGGCAGTGGCGGAGGAGTCCTCCGTTCGAGGTAGACCCAAAACAGCTTGCTAGAGACACACACACCCCATGGGGACGAGGGGAGGAGTTCCCCGCTCCAGGCACCCAAGCTGGGTGGGCCTAGAACTGCTTGCTAGAACCACGCACCCGGCAGGTGGCAGTGGAGGGATCTACCACACTGGGCAGGCCCAGAACTGTTTGCTAGAGCCACATATGTCCCACGGATGGAGGGGGCAGAGTTCCCCGCTCTGGGCTCCTGCGCTGGGAGGGCACAGATTGGCTTGCTAGTGCTACACGCGTCCAACAGGAGATAGTGAAGGAGTCCTCCACTTCCCCCCAGCTACTCTGGCAGGGCTGAACTAGGAATGATCTAGTTCCTCGTGTACCCTGCACTACTGCTGCCATTCCCCCACCCCCTGGCTGCTCCAGGGTGCTGAACTAGGACTGACCTAGCCACTACAGTTCCCTTGTTCCACCAGTTGCCACAGAGGGGCCAAACTAGGATTGATCCAGCTGCTGCTGGTCTCCTGCCCCCCAGTCACCCTGGCAGGCTGAACAAGGTCAAATCTGGCCACACACTGCTGCTGCCATTCCACTGCACCCTGGTTGCTGCAGCACCCGAGAACTGGGAGAAGACAACAGACACACTCTGCCTGTCTTTCTGGGCAACCAGAAGAAGCCACCCACTGAATGGTTCTGATAAGGCCTCCAAACAAGGTAAACTCAGCATGGGGCGGAATCAATGGAAAAACTCCAGCAACTCGAATAACCAGAGTAGATCAACTCCACCAAGGGAAAATGGGGCAGACGCAACTAAAGACCCCATCGAAAAGCAAATGGCTGGTATGTAAGAAATCAAGATCAGAATGTGGATAGCAAATAAGATTAACAGAATGGAAGGAAGGAATTAGGAGTTCAAGAAATTATTTAAAAGACTTCTCAAGAAATTATTCAAAAGATACCTCAAGAAATTATTCTAAAGATGTCTCATGAACTCAACAATTTCAAAGATAAAATGATCAAAGATTTTGAAACACTGAGACAAGAGGTTGCAGCCCTCAAGGATCTAAAAGACACAGTAGAATCCCTCCATAACACATTGGAACAGGCAGAAGAAAGGATCTCTGATTTTGAAGACAAAGTTTTTGAAGAAGCACAGGAGGGCAAAGATCAAAAGAAATGGAGAGCAAAAACAGATCTCACTCTCAGAGAACACTCAGATAATTCGAAGAAAACTAATATTCGCCGTATATTAAGTTGCTTCACAAAACACAGGGGCTCTTCTTCATGAAATTAGGAAAGAGAACTTTCCAGACATGCCAAGAGATTCTGAAATTTAGATAGCAGATAGGTTCAGAACCCCAGCATGACTCAACCTGAACAAGACATCCCCCAGACACATCATAATTAACTTCACCAAAGTTAACATGAAAGAGAAAATTCTGAAAGCAGTCAGATGTAAGAAAACCATAACCTACAAGGGAAAGAGTA